ACACTACAAGTTATTATCCGTGGGCATTGTTGGCACTGTGATACTCCCTTATGTGTCCAAAGTATTATTGCCAATTTGCCTGGTTTCCTGTTACAAACCAACTTAGGCATGAAAATTGGTTTCCTTTAGCAGAAACTACCTGTGTTCAAGGGTTTCCCCCATTATAGAAATGATTTCTCTTGACTTCAATGATATCAGGTTACTGCAGAAAGGTAATTTAAGTGCATATACTAGAGTTGGGGCGATATGCAAAAACTATCCAATTGGCCACTGTCAGTATCGGCGAATGTAATTATGGATTATGACTACTTGTTCCTGGATGTCACTTCACTGCTCTGTGAGAAAATATATGTACATTTGTGTTCATGAACACCATATTATGTATTTGTCTTGTATAGTCTGAGTCTGCACATGTTTCTGATGACATTGTGTTTGTGCATCTGCATGTCTGCATGAGAGTGAGAGAGATAGACGAAGAAAGCGAGGGAGTCAGGATGGAATGAATGAATGAATATATATATATTTAATTTAATTTAATGTAATAAATAGTTTTTGTAGTAAGTATGTTCATATAAACAGTTGAATTTATTCCTGAGGGGGCAGACTATAATATCAGCAAAATAAAATGAGAAATCGGCCAAACAATTGGCGATGGACTCAGCATATCACAGATAGACAATATATTCGTTGTAACTTTTACAGTGACAATGACAATAAAGTCTTATCTTATCTTATCTTATATTCGTTCAGTCGCCCAACCATGGCATAAACCATATGTTAATGCACTGAGAGGACACACTCACTGAAGTATTCCTCATTAATGGCCATGAACCAACTGTGGTCAGTCTAATACATGTCTAGGACCTTATAGGAACCACTGGAGGAATCTTCCATATCAGAGGAGAAATGCTCATAGATCCCTGTATGCAACAGCAGGGGCTGTCAAGAATGTAGATTGTGAGAAAGAAACTGTTTTCTACGTCTGCTGTAATGATCTCAGGATATGACTGAAGTTAATGAAGTCTTTTCCATGGGGACTTACCTTTGACCCTGCTCTCAATTCTTCCCATCTCTCTTCCATTTTACATTTCGAGTCACACTGGATGTCTTATGGTTTGTTGACTTTTCTTTCCTCTCATTGTTTTTCCAGGAAGTGGTGAAAGCTGCAGGCATGTGTGTGTGTGTGTGTGTGTGTGTGTG